AGGTTGCGGCAGATGTGCACGGCGTACTCCAGCTGCAGGATGGTCTGGCAGCTCCAGATGACCTCAAGGCGCTGCAGCGTCTGCAGGAACAGGAGGAGGTTGTAGGGCGCCCAGCTGAGGAAGTAGGCCGCCACGATGGTGAAGATGAGCCGCACCGTGCGGTGGCGCCGCCTGGAGCGCGAGCGGAACAGGGTCCTGAGAATCTGCACGTAGCAGAACACGATGATGCCCACCGACAGCAGGAAGAAGATGTTGTGCTGGTAGACCGAGGCCAGGAACCATTTGGGTTCCGAATAGTCACAGCCCCAAGGCCACACCTGGTGGGACACGGCGTCTAGCACCGAGAACAGGGTGCTGGTCACCCACACAGACACGGTCACCAGCACGCGGCAGCGGAGGGAGGGGACGCGCAGCGTGGAGAGCGGGCTCACCACGGACAGGTAGCGGTGGACCGTCATGATGGTCAGAAAGAAGATGCTGCTGTAGAGGCTGGTGGAGAAGACCATACTGAGGAGCTGGCAGGGGAAGTCCTCCAGCGCCCAGCCCCAGTAGCCCGCGATCCACACGGGCAGCAAGGAGGAGAATGCCAGGTCAGACAGACACAGGTTGAGGATGAAGACGTTGGTCAGCGACTCCAGGCTCTCGTACTTGATCAGCACCCACAGCACCAGGCTGTTGCCCACCAGGCTGAGGAGGAACACCAGGCAGTACAGGATGGTGGTGGTCAAGGTGGCAAAGAGGAAAGTCGTGTTCTCACACAGAGCACTCTTAAGGTCATAGTCGAAAGGGGTGGTGGTCTCTGAGGGGCGGGAGGACTCCATTCCCCCAGGCAGGGGCCTCAAGGTCACCTGAAATGACAGAGACGTGGAGCTGAAAGCCAAGTGGCTAGGCTAGAGATCAGGGAGACCCACAGTACCAAAAAAGTATGGTCTGTGTTTGTAGTGAGATCAGGAACATGTGCCAGAACATAGTCAAAAGTGCATTGTTTAGTGTGGCTGACGGTTCTTTCGCCATATCCAGACTTTCATATTGGAGGCAGCAATGCACTGATTTACACCCTGTCACCAGCCTCCTTTCTCCTTGGCAGCCTGGCACTTGAGTAGCACTAAGCTGGACAATTCTCATAGTGGCTGTAAGGGAGAGAGCTGTGGAACTGGATTCAAAGAACTAAGATCAAATTCAGACTAAGATCAAACTAAGATCAAAGTGTGCTTTTGGGCAAGCCATTTAACCTTTCTGGACTTTACATCCTCATTTACAAAATAGTGCTAATCATCCCCAAATTATTCCTTTATTTATAGATATTTAGACAAAAATCTATTGAGCACTTATTATCCTTCCCTTCCTTCCTATAAAGTGCAGACATCCTGATAGCAGGATTGTGTCAGGAAATTTGCTGTCTCCTGGAACAGCCTTGAAAAGAGAGTATATAGATGCAGCAAAATTATCTTCATGAACACAGAGGATTAACTCTGAGAGCAGAGAGCGTTATCATTTGGGAGACTGGTTTACAGCACGTCTCATAGGTGCAGGAGAGTGGCAACAACCCAGGGTCCAATAGAAGGGGAGAAGGGAAGTAGCTAAGAAAACTACACTGTCTGGTAGTGAGATGTTACCATGAGTTTAGAAGACTGAGGAGAGAAAGGGGAGGGAAAGGAACTAGAAGAGGGGGACGCTTCCCTGGGAGAGGTGAAAGCAGATGCTGGGCCCTAAGAGAAGGAGGGTGGGAGACTTGTAAGAAGCAGCATCCTGAGCCAGGTAAGAGAGATCTCATCACCTACAATGCGCCAGGTGCTGTGCAAACATTTTATACCCTCATTATGTCTATGGTCTTGTTCATTGGCTCCTGCAAAACTCTGTCAGTCATGACCACCTCCATTTTACAGTACAGGAAACTGATACTCAGTCTGTTGAAATGACTCTCTCAATGTTATAAAGCCAGGAAGCCACAAAGAGAGTCAAGATTGGAACCCAGGCTCTAATGCCTTGTATTTTGAGGAGGGAATTGGAGAAATAGCCTGAGTTTCTCACTTATCTAGGTTTGGATAAAGGAAATAATAAGGGAGTTTCAAGATTTATCCTATTTTAGGCAGTCAAGTCAATTTGTTTCTCAAAATGAAGATAGTTGAGAATATTATGTACAATGGTCTTACTTTGTAGTCTTTGACTCTTAAAGAGGAACACACATAGGTATATACATTACCTGTCCACTTGTGTTTCTTATTTTAAAGGAATTATGGATTTTGCTCATTTTTTCCTACTTGGAAAAATAACATTTTTCTTGTGGATTTTTAAGAGCTCTTAGTATCATCAACCCATTGTGATTTTTAGCCTCTCAATTATGTCTATGGTCTTTTAATTTCTTTGATATATTGGGTATTTACATTGAAAAAATGGGCATGCCTGGCTCAATGTAACTGTCTTTAATGATCTCTGACATGTGCCAGGCACTCAAATAGATGTTAGATTTCTAGGGTATAAACATGTGTAATAAATACATAGTCTTTACCTACAAGAAGTCAGTAGTGTAGAATGAACTGCCTAGTGTGATAGGTTGGAGGTAATTCGAGACAGAGGCCTTCTAAGCACCGTTCATATCATATGGGTTGTTACAGGTGACCACAAGTCTACTAAGTAACTCTTGTCTTCCCCTAACCCACTGAACAGTATAGGCTGACCATCTTCTTACCATCAGCACCCCAGCTTCATGGTTGGGAAATTTCTCAAAATTAAATGGATTCTCCTGAGAAAGAAGATCTCTTCTCTCTCTGCACTGCTTTATTTTAATTTACTGCTAGACAAGTAGTTTTACAGTCCCTCAGGATTTTAATACTTTTCACAAATACAAAACAAAGAGATGAGTTGGCTTCCTTGAATGATGATTTGTGTTACCTATATCACAAAGGCAGAATAATCATGCACCTCTATTCTCAGTGGAGTTCACAGTTTTTCTCCCAATTCTGCAGGGTAGAAGTCCTCAGGATGCCCTGGGATAGCAGGGAATCATTGGCCGATCCAGTTGACTTACACCTCTCCCTGCTTCAGCCAGTCTTTCCTTGATCTGTGGTCCTGAATAATGCAGCTTGATTGGGTTGCTAAAATGACTTTTCAGTCCAAGTCTGCTAGGTTATTCAGTATTAATTACTCATCATGTAGAAGATAATATCACTGGGCTCAACTTCTTATAATGGCTAAGTAAGCTCCTATGTAACCAGCACCTCTATAGATAAAAACTATAAATCCAAATATTGTTTATATTATATATATTTATGGACCAAAATAAACAAACAACCCCCTCCACACACATGCACATGCGCGCGCGCGCACACACACACACACACACACACACAAGTTCCTGAGGGCAATGATGAGCTAGCAAAAGCAGATGGATGTGAAGAGGATTAGGGAACAGCTGAATGGCACTGGATGAGATTCACATTTTTATGGCTTTGGCCCAAGTGCAGGACCTGGTGATGAGATACAGCTAAAACTAGTAAAAAACTTATAACATTTGTTTTCTGTCTTGAAAAAACAGATGACCAAGTTTGGGGCAACTATATCCACTGGAAAGTGAGGGGGGAGATTATAATTATAGAGAGGAAAATGTTAGAGAGCAAATTCTGTGCACAGACTCTGCCCAAATGCTTGGCTGACCTCTGAAATGTGCCAGTGAAAAGCTAAAAGAACTAACCTAAAGTTTGAACTATTGCTCACTTCAAGGAAGACAGAGCTTAGAGTTTGAGCCGGCCAAGTTAAATACTGCTGAGGCAAACTACGAATAAACAATCAACACCTTTTAGAAGAAAGAAACAGAATCTAGAGTCTCCAAAACATAACATTCACAATGTTCAGAATACAGTCCAAAATTACTCAGCATATGAAGAATTAGAAAAATATGGCACATACTTAAAAGAAGAAAAAATAAAAAAAGACTCTGAGATGAGCCACGTGTTGCAATTTGCAAATCAGGATTAAAATGCAACTACTATAACTTTGCTAAGAGAACAAAGGAAAATATATTCATAATGAATGGGAAGATAGAATATCTCAGTAGAAAAAGACGAGTTATATAAAAGAATTAGAAATTAATAAGAATAAGATATCTAGAAACACTCCTATAATTTGGAAGTAAAAGAATCTGTAAGTCAAAGAAGAAATCAAAAGGCAAATGATAAAATATTTTGAACTGAATAATAATGAAAGTATATATAAAATTCATGGAATGCAAATTAAACTCCTTATCTTTAAATGCTTGTATTTGAAAAGAATAAAGGTCTAAAATCAAAGTCCTAAAATTAATGACTTAAGCTAGAAAAAAAGAAGACCAGGCAGGCAAAGTGGCTCACACTTGTGATCCTAGCATGCCCGGGAGTCTGAGGTACGAAGATCCTGTGAGCCCAGGTGTTTGAGGTTGCTGTGAGTTGTGATGACACTATGCACCATGGCACTCTACCCCTGACACTGGACAATTGAGTGAGACCCAGTCTGTAATAAAAAAAAAAACAGGAAAGAAGAATGTACTAATAAAAAAAAAAGCAGAAATAAAGAAAATAGAAAATTAGAAAAGGGAAAAATGAACAAAACCAAAATTGGTTGTTTGACAAAATTTTAATAAATTGATAAAACCTTGATTGCAAACTTAATTAGATTGACCAAGAACAAGAAAGAGAATATAAATTCTTAATAGTTAGTACAAAAGAAGAATATTGCTCAGGTCTTACAGACTTTTAAAGAATAACAAATTGATATTATTATTATTATGTTTGAGATAGTGTTTTGCTCTGTTGCCCAGACAGATATTCACTAGAGCCTGAAACTCCTGGGCTGAAACACTCCTCCCACCACAGTCTGCCTACTAGCTGGGACTACTGGTTTGCATCAGTATGCCTGGTTATTTATTTAGTTTTTGTATATTTTTCCATCTCCTTAGTAGGAGATGGAATCCTACTGTGTTGCTCAGTCTGGTCTTTTTTTTTTTTTGAGACAGAGACTCAAGCTGTCACCCTGGGTTGAGCGCTGTGGCATCACAGCTCACAGTAACCTCAAAATCCTGGGCTTAAGTGATTCTCTCACCTTAGCCTCCCAAGTATCTGGGACTACAGGCACCTGTCACAATACCTGACTATTATTATTATTTTTTTTTTGGTTGTAGTTGTCATTGTTGTTTGGCAGCCAAGGGCTGGATTCAAACCTCCTAGCTCTGGTGTATGTGGCTGGCACCTTAGCTGCATGAGGTATAGGTGCCGAGCCATCAGGCTGGTCTTGAACTCCTGGCCTCAAGCAATCCTCCTGCCTCAGCCTCAATCCCAAACTACTGGGATTACAGATGTGAGCCACCATGCCTAGCCTATCATCATTTGTATGTTAACAAATCCAGCAACTTAAATGAGCAAATTTCTTTAAAAATTCAACATAGCAAAACTAACATTAGAGCCCATAGTCCATCTACTTGGGAGGCTGAGGCAAGAGAATTGCTTGAGCCCAAGAGTTTGAAGTTGCTTTGAGCTATGACACCATAGTACTCTACCGAGGGCAACAAAAGTGAGACTTTGGCTTAAAAAAAAAAAAAAAAAGAAAGAAAGGAAAAAGTAAACAAAAAAAGAAATAAAATTAACTACTAAAAACCTTGCCATAAAGAAAACTCCAGAACTAGATGATTTTTCTAGTGCATTTTTCAAACATTTGGAGAAGAAATAACACTAGTCTTACACATACTAACTAAAATAGAGATATAACACTTCCTAGCTTGTTTTATGAGTCAGCATAACCCCAATACCAAAAATTTGACCAAAATTTTACAATGTAAGATAACTACAGACCA